GCCGCTGACCGCGTGCTGTTTACATCTATCATATGCAATCATATGATAGCTCCTACTCATTCCGTATTCAGTACGTGTTTTTATTGATAAAAACGCGTTTTTATCTCTGAAATTCTATAGTATACGTGAAATATACTATAGCATATTACAGCGCTAACATCATTGTAAGCGCGTATTGAAACGGACCTCCGAGTGAGTTGGAGTATGCAACGCGAGCAAATGTCAAGCAGAGAAAACTTCTGCTTCGACTATTATAATCGTGTTGTCACACACACACGCACGCACGCACGCACGCACGCACGCACATATATATATACTGTCAGTAATAAAAATGTGTAATAATAATGTGACATACACATTTTTTAAATAAATACTGACAAATATATTGGTGCACACGAATGTAGAACATTTCCTGTCATCCAATACCATTTATATATGTTTCATATTTATTGAAAGCAAAAGAGTTTCAGTGCAATCTAGTGCACGAACAGAAAACAGACTAAGGGCCGATTGTTCCATCTTTTGGTAACGTTTATCTGTTAAGTAAGTAGCAAGATTACCCAATCACGTGCGCGGATTGCCAGATTTACCTAACAGGTAAACTTTACCGAAAGATGGAACAATCGGCTCTAAATGTGTTATATAACAGATAATAATTAACACGTTAAATAGGGCGAATAAGAGTCAAATTACAATTTAAAATCTAAATCTGATAATTTATTCTAATATTATATATTACGAAGAATATCACGTAATGTTTGGCGTTTCCGACCCGGCTTCCACTACTGGACTCATCAGTAAGGCATTGTAAGTCTACCTTATACGCCTTGGTAAGTTATTAAATCGAGATTCTATATAAAGAGATATACGCGTATCTTAGCACTTGCGAGAATTTGCGAATATCGATAAACATCTGATGGCGAGTCGACGTAGTGATATTCTTCGCAATATTTCTTCAAACTCTAATAATCTGATTTATAAATATCCCCTCTCCCTAATTTTTGCGCGCCGAAAGGATTTCGGTCTTGCAACGCAACTCTAATCATCTGAAATATCCCCCCCCCC